TCATATGTGGACTCTAAAAAAAGACAAATGAACTTAAATATAAAACAGAAACAGACTCACAGACATAGAATACAGACTTGTGGTTGCCTGAGGGGAGAGGGGTAGGAAGGGACAAATTGGGAGTTATATATAGAATAGATAAACAAGTTTATACTGTATAGCACAGGGAAATATATTCAAGATCTTACAGTAGCTCACGGGGAAAAAGAATATGAAAATGAATATATGTATATTCATGTATGACTGAAAAACTGTGCTGTATGCCAGAAATTGACACAGCATTGTAAGCTGACTATAACTCAGTTTAAAAAAGTGTCCTTTGGGTTTCTGTTTCAGAGCAGAAATGAATGAATTTAGTGTAGGAGGAAGTTCTAGTGGACCTAACAAAAGACTGGCTATCAAAGGTCACTTGCTTCTGGCGTTTCATCCTAGTCTTGCGCTTGTATGGTTAGATCCCAGGCTTCATACATGCTCTGCTCCCATCCCCGCTTCCTTCCTGTCTTTTTATATGCATACATAGTAAAGTTTATAAATACTCTTCCAGATTTATTCCTGTATTAGTTTTGGAAATCTCCCCCTGCTCTTGATATTAGATTATAGTAGGAAAAATTAGGACTGACATTTTCTCACTATATTTTTAAAGAAAAGAAGGTATGTATTTATACTTATTGATAAAGCATTTTGATGGAAAGTGATAAAGTTTAGTTTTGTGTAGGAAATAGAAACTTCAATCTGTGTACTCAAGTGGCATCTAAATCTGATAGTCAGGTTCCACTCCCCTTCAAGTTTAAAAATTTTTTTCACTATTATGAAAGTTTTGTGATTACCCACCTTATAAATAAACTTTATGGGCACTCATGAGTCTTTCTATGTGATGAATTCCTAGAGGGAAAAATCCTCAGTCAAAGGGCTATGAATAATCAATAGAGGAACTAAAATTAGTATTGTCATAACGAAAAATGCAAGTTGTAGGAGGGGAGATGGATGTTTTATAAATTCGATCCTTTTATCTAGAGGCATCAACATATAACTTCTAAAGCTGATAAATCAAAACTGGCGTAAGTCTTTGGTATAACACAGTACTTAGCAACATGGGTGGAACCATAACAAGTTAAAGCAGAAATGGTTAAGGTAATTGGGCAGGAAGGGGGCTGCAGCTTTTCATTACAGGACTCTCTTCTTTCCCAGCCTTAAGCATACAGTACTTCTGATATAAAAACTTAAGTTTATTTAAATTTAAGAACATATCTAGCTAAAGTATCATCCAGAAAAGTATATTAACTTAGATAACCATGTGGAACTTTTTGGTGGCCCTGAATTACTATGGTGACGTCAGGTCAGTTTTTCATCATGGATATTCTGGCCCATTCAAACGTTTTGAACTATCTTAGAAACATACATATAGCGTAAGATGTAAAATAAGCGAGGAAGCTGGGGTAAAGGGAAAAATAAGTGTAGGAAAAATAAGATGTAAGAGGACCAAAGAGTCCATCAGAACCACCTGGAAAGCTGGTTAAGAATGAAGATCCTTGGTCCCGTCCCGGACCTGCTAAATCAGAATCTCTTGAATAGGGCTCTGGGATCTCCTCTTAAGCCGCCCTGACGACCTGGAGTCGGGATGTAATTTAAAAGAAGACAAAGAGCGACTACCAGGATATTAAGATGTTTATTAGTGTCACGGAATTTAGAGCACGGGAGCTAGAGGAATGGACACTGTGAGACTAACTCCAAAGAATACATTTAAAAATAAATCTTATATAAACTTGAATCATCCCTTCTCTCACTACAATACTTCATAGTCCGCTTCTTATTTCATTAACCTCCCCAAACCACCCTCCAGGAGACTAGAGGGCTCAGTCTGTCATTTCATCCTTTGACTTTTACTCTTAATGTAAAGATGCATATTCTGGGAAGTCTTCTCTTTTTCTCTTGGCTCTATTTGTAAGCAGCCTACTGTACCACATAGTGTGGATTTTCTAGTGCTTGGGTGTCTTTTTATGTATCACATCAACGGGTTAAACAGACACTTAGAAGAATCCTATGTATCAGCCAGGCAGTGGTACTTAATCTTTTCCACTGCTTGTGTTCTTATTCTCAAAACATATTTTCACATGTCTCATGTGAAAATTAAAAGTTAAAGATGCTGAATTTTTAAAACATAGAATTCGGTATATCATAAATATAAAAGGAAAGAGAAAGAATTACAGCTTAATTTTAAAACGGAATTATGAATATATTAAAAATTATACATTTAAAAAGTCTATCCGCTTACAATGACTTCTGCTGTAGCTGTAGTTTTTGCTCAATGATGTCTGAGAAGCGAGGAACCTTTTTTGAAATAGCCACACGGATGTCATCACTCACATTCAAGCAGCTTCTAGACTTAGTTTTAAAATGTAGAAGTGATGAGAATCCCAACTCACAAAGATATGTAGTTGCAAAGGGTATAAGGATTTCTAGAGCTGTCTTTGCCAGGCTTGGAAACACCGTGAACTGAGCACACCAGAAATCCTCAAGTTTCATTGTCTCAAACTCCATTAGGATCTGGCCACTAGCTCGTAACTCAGCAAGATCATTTTTCATTAAATAACCATCATCGACAAAATCCAGATTAAAAAGAAATGGATCCAGTATCCACTTGCTTGCCTCATCAAGATCTCCAACGGAAAAATATCCGTGGAAGAAGCTGCTCAACTGCTGGAGGTGCAGGGCTATTTCTGCTGCAATGTGTAACGCTTCACCGTCTGAGACGATGATTTCTTCAAGAAAAGGGAAGTTGGTAAAATTTCTTTTCTCAATTCGCTTTAGCCAAAATGGAAACTTCCTAACAAAAGCAGATAACTTCTCCCGAGCTGATACTGTGTTCATCCCAGTCCTCTGCATAGACGCACTAAGTTCATTTAGGTGTTTGAATAAATCTGCTAGGTACGCTAGGTGGATTTTAAACTCTTTATTTTCAAAGCCATCAACTAAATTGCTGCTTTGGTGGTGAAGAAACTGATTGATTTCTTCATACATCTCAAAAATATGAGTAAGTATCTGGCCTCGGGAAAGCCACCTCATTTCAGTATGGAAAAGGAGAACACTATACTCTATTCCAATTTCTTCAAAAAAAGCCTGGAACAGGCGGTGATTCGGAGCTCGGCCTTTGATAAAATTGATCACCCTCACCACAGTAGAAAGAGCATCTGTCAGCTTTGTAGGCAGTGTCTTCGTGACAAGCTCATGAGGGTTCAACAAGCAATGTGTGATCACGACATGCGGGACTTCTTTTTTCACACAGGCAACAAATTCTGAATTTTCTCCTAGCATAGAAGAGGCGCCATCAGTACAAACAGAGCCACATACGTCGAGCGCTATCTTATGCTTCAAAAAGAAGTCTCTGAATAGATAGAACACGTCTTTTCCTTTCACTGTTAACTGCAGTGGTTCACAGAACAGGAATTCTTCTACAATCTCTCTTTCTTTTATGTATCGCACAAATGCCATTAGCTGACTGCAGTCCTCCATGTCCGTTGTCTCAGCAAGCTGAATCCCCACCTTAAGAGGACTGGCTTTGATATCTTCTAGGACTTGCTGTAAGATATCCTGGCTCATTTCGTCAATTCTAGAATGGATCACATCATCTGATAAGGGTACCTGCTGAAGCTTCTTTTGTGCATCTGGTCCCAAAACTATTTGTGCTATCTCCAGTGCACAAGGTTTCACTAACTTTTCAGCTATTGTATGCGGATTCTTCTCCTTGGCACATAAATACGCAAACTGATAGGATGCTTGTAATAAGGCGTCCTCCTGAGATGCGACTCCAAATGCTTTCAAGGTTTCACTCTGATCAGACGGCGCTGGCATATGTTTCAGGCTGTTGAGATCGTGCCCACCTACGCCACCATGCTGTCGGTTAAAATGGTCTGACAGTTTTGATGGTCGGAGGTCAGCATTTGAAAATACGGAGTTACACAATACACACTGTGGGCGCGGAGTTCCATCGGCTTCCGTCGTACAGGTGAACCAGTAACGAACATAGTCATCATCCCATTTGCGCTTCTTCGACATGGCACCCCAAAATTCTCAGGCAGTTTCCCAGAGATGTCGTAGATTTTTGCTTTGGGAGTAAAATATAACCCAGGCATTAAAAACTAGTGGCTCACCGAATTAAAACAAAGCCTCATCACATGCCATCCTGTCATCTGTGTACGTGTCAAGAAATACCCTGTAACACGTCAGTTCGGAGCAAGCCATGATGGCATGACAGTCCAACTTAAATCTAAGAAACTCAGCTAAAGCCCTGGAATAGATGCCTTGCCAGTAGGGTGTATATGGGAGACTCGCGCTTATGCAAATTGTGAATACCCTTAAGTCCTCTCCTGGTGAACTGCAGTTACGCCTTAATTTGTTTTCAGTGATGTATGTTCCAAACAAACCTGGTACATTTTATATCCCCGGAAAGGGCATCTCACTACCACCCCCTCCTTCCGTTTGAGCCAAGGATGTAGGCACACACCCAGTTATGAACTAGTGAATAGAGGAGGGAGTAATTCACTAAATACTCCAAGGAAGGGCAGGTTTGGACATGGTGGCTAGTTCTTTTTAATCATTAAGGATTAAACAGGTCTGTAAAACTATTTGCTCCTTGAGTGGCTTTGACTCCAACTCAAGCAGAGGATTTCAAACAGGTCTGACTAAGCCACCCTTGACAGAGAAGTGGGAATCAGTCCGTGATTCCCACTGTCCATACAGAAAAGCAAAACAAGTTGATCACTGAGACTTCCGAGAAATTTCTCTAATAGAAGGAAACCCTTAATTACGGCAGGACAGGATGTAGAAGGCAGTGGTCCTCCAGTTTAGTAAACGGAGGAATCATCTCAGTCTCTTGCTAAAATGCAGATTTCTGGGCCCCACCCCCAGAGATTCTGATTCCCCGGCTCTGGGGCAGAGGTCCAAAATCTGTAGTCTAAATAAGCATTTTAGATAATTCTTATGAACAGTACATAGAACAGTCATCTTTAAGAAGGGACGCCCATCACAGTCACTGGGAACCCCTTTGAAATTATACGTGTCAATGTACCACCTTAGAACTAATAGATGATCATGTCCAGAAGTAGGACAAAAGAGGACAAAAACTAAATAAAGTCGTCCAGGTGGCTGTGATACACATTCTAGTAAGTAGACAGATTGAGAGGAATGAAACACATCGGCAGGCTTATCCCTAGCTTGCCCATATTCTACATCGCTAAGTAAACAGTCTAAATGCTTTAACAGGCATTTACAATTTCTGAGTTGATGACAACTTCCTGTGAAAGCTGAGGGACCTAAAAAGAAATCCTTTTTCTTCTTTTTCTCCCTTCTGAGCAATCAGCAAAGGTATAATCCACAGGTAGGCTCAAACATACCTTAGAAAACAATTCTATATCTCAGAGAAGTAAGTGATCCCCCACATTTCCAAAGTTCTGTGCTACAGAACGTGGCTGAATAATGTAGCAGGGGTCCATCTAAATCCAAATGTCCACACTGGCCATTAAAAAAAAAGTCACAGTAAGTAAGCCAAGAATATTTATTTAAGGCACTGCTTTCTAGCGGCTCTGCCAAGAATAACTAGCTCTAAAATGTACTTCGGTGTAACTAATAAGTTGATTTGCCATATGGTTATCAGCCAGTTTAAATTGAAAGATGTCTGCCTATCAATAAAGACAATTGGAAGTTTAGTTATCTTAAGGTTTCTTTTGTCAAGTGATGGGACTATGGGCCAACTGTGTTTAGAATCTCTCCTGATAAGAGTAAAATTATAACATCAGCATGAAAAATGCTTACCTTTCTGTATTCTGTTATGTATGTTTTAGGGGGCAGAAGGAGTGAAGGAAAAAGCTTTCCTTCAGTCTCATTAGAAATTCTTACAGGACCAGTTAAGAGCCCATTCCTATCCACTCAATGCTACTCAAGTATATTTTAATTGAAATCTACCTGTTTGGAACAAAAGAATTTTTAGACAAATTCATTTATCATATTCTTCTCCATCTCCCTCAAAAAGGGAGAATAGGTAGCAAGAATTTTCAAGATCCTCAAAGATGAACTTACTGCCCAAAAGACTTTCTTGTGTTTTAGAATCTCACAATTTTCACTTGTTCCTTTGTGGTATTTAGCAATCACAATATCCTAAAATATGTAAACATTAAAAAAGCATCATCTTATTAAGGAATTATTGTTACTTGAAACAGTGTGATAATGGTATGGTTGTGTTAAAAAAATAGGTCCTCTTTTATTAGAGATACAGTCTGAATTATTTAAAAGTGAAATGATAAGATGTCTGGAATTTCCTTTGAAATGCTGTACTTCAGCACACACAAACATACACAGAAAATGAGATAAGACTGGCCTTGAGTTGTTAACTGTTGAAGCTGGATGATTGTACATACCGTTACACCATTCTCACTCTATATATGCTGCAAACTTTCCATAATAAACAGTACAATAAACAAAAACGATTATCTTATTAAGATAGACCTAATTCGTTTTTAGAACGATTCTTTGAGTTTGTTGAGACGAAGATGCAGAATGAAAGACCAGATGTAACAGAGTAAAAACGTTTTGCAAATTCAGAAAGGGTAGATATGAAACTATCAGAATTGAGAGAAAAACCAGTCGGTTACAAGTGAACGTTCACATGACAAATTATTTGGGGAAGGCTACAACATCTATGTCAGCAGTGATAGCATCAAAGTGCAGCTGTAAACCTAAAACTCCAAAGCAAACACAATCCAAGTTGTACCTGGCCACCGCCTAGCCAGTCCATGGTAGGTGCGGGTGTGCGGGGAGGCAGAGGATTTAACCATTACATTTTACAGTTAAAAGCAACAGCCAGGAGAAAAGGGATGGGAATGCACTAGCTGGGCAAACGCCTGGGATCCTGGCTTTGCACTCAGAAGCTGGGACCTATCCAAGCTTCAGTTCCTCAACTGAGATGACAATAGTACCTACCTTACAGGGTTGTTGGGAGGTTTAACTGTGAGCATGCATGTAAGAACACCAGCTCGTAACGGGTAGGGCCTGTTGGTGTATGATTAAGGACGGAGCGTTTAGAAGGCGGCCCGGGCGAGCTGAGGCCGCCGGCGGCGCGGGAAGAAGACTCCGCTCCGTCTCCGCCCGCCGACTCCGAGCCGGAGCCGCAGGCCCCAGGGATGCTCGGGCTTCCTTTGGGCGCCCGCTTCAGGCTCCGGTTCGCTCTCCGCTCAGGCTGGGGCCCTGCCTCCAGGCGCTGGAACTGGTCTAGGCGGCGGTTCCTGGGGTCTAACCCCGGAGCAGGAACCTGCGGACCGCCGGGAAGCAGAAGCAGCCGCAGCGCCCTCCGCTCCAGCCGCGCCGGGGCTCCATCCGGGTTCTCCCGGTGCCTTCCCGCCCGCAGCCTGGGCGAGGCGGAGCCCGGCACGCAGGCGCACTAGCAAACGGCCGGGCGCTCTGCCGGCTTGAGTAAGGAGCATGCGCGCTGGCCCTCGCTTCAGCTTGTGTACGTGGAGCTAGGAGTTTTTAGCTTATTGTGTCTGCCAGGAAGAATGAATCGTAGAATCTCAGGAGTGGAATGTCTACATAGTTCTACTTTTTAACATTCAAAGCAGTGGAAATAACATTTTTTATTGTGTCAGGCTTTGCGCTTGGAGATTATAAAGCATCAATAATTAACCATTTTCTATGTGGTATCAATGAGGAAGAAGAGAAGGAAGCTCATTCTACTCCCAAATTGAACATTCAGGCAAATGGGACAAGCTGTAAATTCCATTAAGATACTGACGGTAGAGGATGAGCCTGTGTCTTCTTGCCTGTGCAGGTTGCCCCTCCTGCCTCATAAATTAGAGCATAGGGATGAATTTGATAATAATCATCATCCACCTTAAAGAAAAGATTTTTAATTTTATTTAAAATTCTTTTTAACAGCAGACTCTTAAAGTAATAAACCCATATTAGAGAGATTTCAAAGAAAAATCTCAAAGTATAAACTAGAAAACGCTAAGAAACTAACCTAAGCCCTCTTTCCTACTGAGGGTATTTAATGAAATGACTTTTTTTTTAATTTTTAAAAATTAATTTTTTATTGATGTATAGTCAGTTACAATGTGTCAGTTTCTATTGGACAGCACAATTTCCCAGTCACGCATATGTACACATGAGTTTGTTTTCATATTCTTTTTCATTAAAGGTTATTATATTGAATATAGGTCCCTGTGCTATACAGAAGAAATTTGGTTTAAATCTATTTTTATATAAGTGGTTAATATTTGCAAATCTCAAACTCCCAAATTTATCCCTTCCCAACCCTTTTCCTTCAGTAACCGTAAGATTATTTACCTTGTCTGCGAGTCTGTTTCTGTTTTGTAGATGACTTCATTAGTGTCCTTTTTTCTTTTTTTTTTAGATTCCACATATGAGTGATATCATATGGTATTTTTCTTTCTCTTTTTGGCCTTCTTCATTTAGAATGACGATCTCCAGGTCCATCCATGTTGCTGCAAGTGGCATTATTTTATTTTATGGCTGTGTAGTATTCCGTTGTGTAAATATACATCTTTTTTATCTGGTCATCTGTTGATGGACATTTAGGTTGCTTCCATGTCTTGGCTATTGTAAATAGTGCTGCTACTAACATTGGGGTGCATGTATCTTTTCAAATTAGAGTTCCCTCCAGATATATGCCCAGGAGTGGGGTTGCTGGATCATATGGTAAGTCTATTTTTAGTTTTTTGAGGCCTCTCCATACTGTTTTCCATTATGGCTGCACCAAGCTGCATTCCCACCAGCAGTGTAGGAGGGTTCCCTTTCCTTCACAGCCTCTCCAGCATATGTTGTTTGTGGATTTTTTAATGATGGCTCTTCTGACTGGTGTAAGGTAGAAACTCACTGCAGTTTTGATTTGCATTTCTCTGATAATTAGTAATATTGAGCATTTTTTTCATGTGTCTTTTAGCTATTTGTATGTCTTCACTGGAGAATTGCTTGTCTAGATCTTCTGCCCATTTTTTTTATTGATTTGTTTGGTTTTTTAAGTTGTATGAGCTGTTTATATATTCTGGAAATTAAGCCTTTGTCAGTTTCATCATTTGCAATTATTTTCCTTCATTCCATAGGTTGTCATTTTGTTTTGCTTATGGTTTCCTTTGCTGTGCAAAAGCCTTTAAGTTTAATTACCTTTCATTAGTTTATTTTTGCTTTTATTTCTGTTGGCTGGGTAGACTGCCCTAGGAGAACGTTGCTAAGATTTATGTCAGAGAATGTTTTGCCTGTTTTCTTCTAGGAGGTTTATAGTATCTTGTTTTATGTTTAAGTCTTTAAGCCATTTTGAGTTTATTTTTGTGTATGATGTGAGGGAGTGTTCTACCTTCATTGATTTATACGCTTCTGTCCAGTTTTCCCAACACCACTTGCTGAAGAGACTGTCTTTTCTCCATTGTATATTCTTGCCTCTATTTTCTTCCATTCAAAGGCTAATACATTTAGTTCTGAGTGTTAAGATACTATGAAATATTCTTAAAATCAAAATTTTATAACCAAGTGGAAAACAGAATTAATACTACACAGATTGACAATGGGGATAAAGTTATTTACACATTCTACAGATTTATTTTCAGTAACCCAAAGCTCGACAGGATAATTAGCTTCAGATCAGAAAAATCTGAGAAGGCAAAAATGATTACCAAATAACTACAACTGTAATTACAAAATTAGATATAAAATCTTAATCTGCACTTAATGTACATGTTTTTTTCTTCTTTATTTCTTCAGTGTGGAAAGGAATGAATTTACTATGAGACTTCTGGAAGCTTTCTTCAAGTCAGGGAGCAAGAAGAGCAGATAGGGATTCTCCCATCTATAATCACTGGCAAGAATCTAAAAGAACGTATCAACAGAGTCTATCCTGGGTGACCGTCTGTGACCAGCAACTACTGCCCAAGGAAGGAGGCCATGGGGTCATCCGGCCTCTGACGTTTCATTCTGTAGGCTTCCATCTCCTCTTCGGTGGGTTCCTGAGTTTCATAGATGCTATTGTAAGGCCGCTTCCTCTCGTCAAGCTGCATCATCTCCTTGACTTGATGAAGACGGGCCTCCTCTGCATTCAGTGCCTGTAGTGAGATGAAGGACGTGAGTACCATGGCTCTACACCAGATCTTGTTTGTTCAAAGCACCAAGAGCAGTACCAGAAGACCCCACAGAATGTGAACGGCCACATCAAAACCTAGACTGCCTCAAAGAGCTTGGACGTAAGCCCTTTTTCTGTCAAACTACAACCAATCACTATTTGGCTCATATTTTCTATAGACACAAAACATTCTATGACATTTTCAATGTTAAAGAAATTAAACAACAAAAACTGAACGAGGTTCATTTTACTGACAGAAGCTGGCAACTGATGCTTTTGGTGGAGATTCTGACTTTGCTGATACTTACAAATACAGGCAAATACAAATTATTCTCTCTGGGCAACGTGTCAACACCTCTAAAATAACAGCTATACAAAACACTTTTCTTCTGTGCATCAGTAATATTTAACAAATAGTTCGAGAAGCAGGTAATACCGAGACGCACAAAAATCTCCATTCATATTCTAGACTTGATAGGCGACCTGAGCAGATCACCCAGACTCGGGGGTGGGGCTAATTTGCTCATTTTTAAAATGAGCTTGGAAAGAGGATCAGATAATTTCCTAAGGTCCCTAAAAATAAAAAAACACTGTGGTCACTTTTACTATTTTGCCTTCACAAAGTACCTTTTTCAATTTGTCATGTTTCTTTTCTTCATCATTACTCTCTGAACTACTCTTTCGATGCTTCCTCTTCCTCTTCTTTTTCTTCTCTTTTAGTTTTTCCTGATGCATCTGACAGGGAGGATTGAAATATACTGTTATTAATGCAAAAATGAAACTCTAGTGCACGTTTTACAGCCTTCCCTCCAAGACTTAAAACCTCAGGACAATCGATCGTGGACTTACCTCCATGAGGGTCTGAGGCTTTTTCACAGACTCTTCTCCAGTTGTATCATTTATAATACGTTCCTCTGAATTCTATGGAAAAATATATGTGATCTGACTTGAGTGTCACAGAAAGTTAAAATGTGAAATGTAAAAAGGTATGTTTCATACAGAGTAAAAGTCGAGGACAATTACTTACAGCAGTCTCCTTCCCAGCTTCTCCGGTGCAGTAGGAATACTTGAAGAAAGAGTGACAGCATTTGTATCCCCATCGGCCTTCTTTCCAGTAGGATCCCCAGATATGCTGCAGAGAGAGAAGGAAGTTCTTTAAAAGGGAGCCTGAAACTAGAGTCTCTCATATATTGCTGATAAAAGGAGGAAAATTATGGGGATTCTAGGGCTAGCTAACAGGGAGAGGGTGTGGTTACAATGGTCTTACATTCTCTTCCCCCAAAACTTAAAACACTTAGGATATCTGATTTCTCTTGAAAAATTTAGAAGGATGGGGAAACTCTGGCCAACATTCTCACTTGTCAGCAATTGGCTGTGGACAACCAGTGGATGCCCTTACTAGACAGGGCTGTGTTCTCTAGTTTGTACAGTCTGCCTGGCTCACTTCATTCCTACACGATTACTGGCATGGCTCCTAAAGGCAGTTAGGTTTTTGACTCCTACTTAGCGAGACAGCTATGGTTTGGGTACTTCAAGAGTACAGCAAATTACATGCTTTATGATGTCATGCGATATGACGTACACTGCATCACCCATGAAGTGTTCCTGTCAAAGTATTTAACTTCTATCTAACCAAGCCTTTAGATCTGAATTCCTGTTTACAGGGAATAGAGGAATAAGTTATACGCTATCACTAGGAACCAGTCAAATACAGAATACGAGACAGTTTCCAAGGTAACTGGCATGATCTGTTAAATAGTCACTGTCATGAAAAAGGGGAGATACATGCTAGAAAAAAGAGAGATAACAACCAAAATAAACTGTGACTGGATTCGTTGTCTCTCTCTGTCACACACATACAAAACTACCTGCCCCCCTCTTCCCCAAACAAAAAAATCCAAACAGCTATTTAAAGGCATTTTGGGGCATATTTTGGAAAATGTGACTAAGGACTAGAGATTAGGTGATACTAACGCATTAATGTCAATTTTCTGCAGTGTGATAATTGTAATGTAGTTATGTAGGAGAACGTCTTATTTTTTAGGAACGTAACATAGTATTGATGGGTGAAATGTCCTGATACCTGTAATTTCCAAATGTTTCAGTCAAAATATATATATGGTTACACACCTCCCCAGCCCAGACAAAGCATATATGGCAATCTGTAAAAAAAAAAAAAAATCTGAATCTAGATGGGTGGGTATATGGGTAAATGTAATAGTATTCTTTCACATTTTGGAAAAATTTCGTAAAACAGCAACTGGTGCAGCCACTGTGGAAAACAATACGAAGGTTTCTCAAAAAGCTAAAAATAGAACTACCATATGACCCAGAAATTCCACTCCTGGATATATATCCCCAAAAAACTAAAACACTAATTTGAAAAAAATATATGCACCAATGTTCACAGCAGCATTACTTAACAACTGCCAAGATATGGAAAGCAACCTAAGTGTCTATCGACAGATGAATGGATAAAAAAGATATGGTATTTATATACAATGGAATACTACTCAGCCATAAAAAAGAATGACACTGCCATTTGCAGCAACATGGATGGACTTAAAAGGGCATTATGCTTAGTGAAATAAGTCAGACAGAGAAAGACAAATACTATATGATATCACTTGTATGTGGAATCTAAAAAAAAATACAACATAGTAGTGAATATAACAAAAAAGAAACATAGATATAGAGAACAAACTAGTGGTTATCAGTGGGGGTGGGGGAGGGGAAATAAAGGGGTGGAGGACTGGGAGGTATTAACTGTTGGGTGTAAAAGGCCATAAGGATGTATTATACCACACAGGGAATGTAGCCAATATTTTGTAGTTACTGTAAATAGAGTGTAACATTTAAAAAGTATTAAAAAACATAAAACAGGTAAAATCTAAAAAACGAAACAAAACAAAACATAATGATTTAGTAATGAAGCTGAAATAGAAACATACAATTCAAAGCAAAATGCTAACAAAGGCGGTTCTGGTTCAGCACGTACCGTATGATTGTTGATCTTCACATCCTCCTCATACTTGGAGCAGGCAACAGCCCGCTCCTGTCCTTTGATGACTGTCCCGTGTCTTGAGTACTCCACGTAGTCTTCAGTCTGAGCTAAAAGCAACTCGGCTGGAGGGGCATCCAAGTGTTCTTGGCCACCATACTAAAAGAACACTGAGCATTATTCAATACACTTTTCAAAGATAAGCATTCAAATCTCTACTGAAGGGTTTATTTCCAATCGGAGAGATTAGAGGAATATTCTTCAGGGCTTTGTTATACAAAACAGAGTAAGAAAAAAAACTGCCACCAAATTTCCTTAAGCAAATAAAAGATATCTCAGTTGCTGTCCATCTGCTGAGTGTGGTTGATTACAAAATGGCTATAAAATTCTTATCCTGTGTGCACGCCTATTTGTCACATGACTTAGCTGCTCCAGCCCCAGAATCTGGGCCTGGCCCTGCTACTTGTTCTGAACCATGGAATACTATCAAATATGATGTAAGCAAATACCTGAAAAACGGTTGTGCACTGGGGCACACTTTTTGTTGCTGGCCTCTGGCATCCTGAGAATGCCACGTAAAGAAGCTGGGCTAGCCTATCACAGGACGAGAGCCCGTGTGGGACAGGGACGAGCTGTTCCTGGTGAGGCCTTCTCAGGACAGATGAGGTGTCTAGAAACCAGAGCAAGGCCATTCTAGATCATTTAGCTTCAGATGGGCAGGCCCAGATCAGGAGACCCAGCTGACATACAAAATGGAAATAAGAAATGTTTATTTTAAACTATGAAGTTGTGAAGTGGTTTGTTTGCAGCAAAATCTCACTGATACAGCTACAGTGATACTGTGTAGCAATTAGGTCAATGGAAGGAAAGGACTAATCCTGGTGGATTACAAGGGACCGTGTACTGTATTCCAAATGTAAATCAAATGTGTATTAACTGGTAATTTCTCTTTAAGGAAACTTCTTCCTTAGCAGTTCGGCCAAAATTACCTTTTCCAGGATGCTCTCTTTCTGCTGCTCTTTGAAGTCTTCTTTCTTGACCTTGAAGGACTTATACAGCAGCTCTAGTTTTGTCGGATCAGCCTGAAGATGCACTTCAGAGCCCTTGTCATAGGCTTCCCAGGCAAACACTGGAGTAATTAAAAACATCGTAATGAGTCGTCAGCTACTTTACTGCATGATTCTTCAAAACAGGCTTTAAAAACTGCCCCCCAAGTTTCTTATGAGCTGATATAAGACACCTTGACGTAGAGGGGACACTCACATTGCGTCTGAGCCATTGAGATGGTATCACCTGTGTATCTGACAAAGTTATCCCCCGCGTAGCTCACTCTGTAAACATTAATTTAAAAAAAATTGTTTGAGATTATGTCTTTTCTAACCCTACCACAGACGATGCTCATTTTCATTCAGATCGCATTAGATGAGTAAAAACTCCCCTCCCTCACCTTGAAATCTATACATTCAGCTGGATACTTACTCATCTGGATTCTTTCCTGCATTGGCATAGGGATTCTCCCTCATCGCTCTAGTTTTGGGATCATAGTAGGCAGAATTTGGATCTAAATTCCGCAAGTACTAGAAGGAAAAAAAATGTTTTAAGACTGAGTTAATATTTACTTCCATCAAAGAAGATTTCAGGAGCCTGACTGGCAGAAGGAGTCAGCTAAATACGTGTAGCATGCCTGGGGTACAGATGAAGAGAGAAAGCCCCAGAATGATACCTAACGTTGGAATGACTGGAACGCACGTTAAGTTGGCAAGGCTTACTTTTGCAATATCTTCTCGAATCCTGAGATTCCGGACAGTGATTCGTCTCTTGGAGTCAAAATTCTGTCCAGGCATGTCAATATCATCTGCATATTTATCTTCATCCTCATCTTCACTATTATGATCTTTTTCCTAAAAGAGGAAGAGAGGGTAAAAAGTTTAAAGAAAAAAAGAGCAGCATCCAGTTCTTGTTTTCCCTTTAACCAAATGCTTACTCATTGTGTTCTTTGTTTGTTTGGTTTGTTCATCTGAGGAGGTGGTAATTAGGTTTATTTATTTAATGGAGGTACTGGGGATTGAACCAAGGACCTCGTACATGCCAAGCACGTGCTCTACCACTGAGCCACACCCTCCCCCTCACTGTGTTCTTTAAACCTATTATTATTATGAATTATATATTATTGTTAATATTAGCCATCAGAAATTTTAAAATTTAATGATTTAAAGGGCATAGATTTACTACCGTCTGAGAATTTGGTTCCTCTTCTCCCCACTGGTGTTTTGGAGAATTCTGCATCATGAAAGAAGGAAAAGCATCTGTAATTTTATTCCACTGAAGCTACTGATTATTTAACACTTTAAAAACAGAGTTGAAATAAGTTAAACTTAACTGAACAAATTCTTGTATTTCTCATGTGTAGTGAGCATGTAAGTTTTGAATACAATCTTGTTATTGTGAATGGTTATTAGAGTGTCTACAAATCAAGGATTTTCATTGATGATAGAATTATAATCACAAGAAGGTAATTAAGGTGATCAATACTTAAATATTCATTTCATGTGTGTTCATCTTCAGATACAACGTTTTCATTAAACTTCACTATCTTTCCATTAAGGCCAAAAAGGAAAGTTACGAGGATCATTATACTTTTAGGAATTTATCCTAAAGCAATAATATGTCTATTATATGAAGATATATGTACAAGAATCTACTGTATGATACAGATAACTGAGAAAAAAACAAATCAATGAGACGACTGGTTATATAAACTACTACACTCAATAAACAATGACCAACCATAAAAGTGATTCTCTCCAAGGGGCAGAAAAATATGTATACTTTGCTTCTTTTTTTTGTTAAAAAATAAAAGAGGGAAAGATGGGAATAAGATTACATATTTGTATTTGTTTGTATTTACACAAACTCTGAAGGGATCTACAAGAAAAAAGTTATGGGGGGTGAGGGTTAGAAATAGAGTGGATGGAGGCAGAGGTGGCAGACTTTTCACTGCACATCTATCTTAAATTATTTTGATTGGTGAACTATGTGAATTTATATAAAAATGAATGATGTTATAGATCTACATTTAATGATACAGAGAACAAGTCCTCATTGAACTACATATTGTTTAATTGAAAGAGCAGGTGATAAATGAATATGTAAAAATGAATCCATTTAAAAAACGTATTATAAGCACACACACAGTACACGTGGGGGGTGGACCGGGACACCAAAAGGCCTACTTCAAAAGGCCAACAGTTAACATAAGGGTTCTTTTTCTTTTTTATAATTTTCTCTATTTTTTTCTGTGTTACCTTCAAAATTAGAAATGTCTTCTTAAAAATAATTTTTGGAGTTCTCACAAATTGCTAGTTCAACAAAGGACATTTATACTGCTATACAGACAGCTAATCTCTATTGTAGACATGACTCTACCATATGTAGTTAATCCTAATAACCAAATGGGCAACATTCATCACTCCTTTACATACATTTAAGTAAACCTACTGGGGAAATAAACTGTAATATGTTTACAGTAAACAATATGGTAAAAAAGAGAAACAGACCCTTTTCCTTTTTCCAGAATTGGTAATGTTTAATAACAATCACAAAAAATAGCTACCGATGACCAAGTGATCACTTCTGTGATGTGCTAAGCCTCGGGGTGGGGGTGGTAGGTGTTCTTCTCTCTGCTTTAGAGATGATAATCTGAGGCTCAGAGAGGCAAAGTAATCTTTCCAGGACCATCTAGCTAGCCAGGGGCACAGCTGGATTTTAACATCATCTGTTAACTTGTGCTTTGAACCTGCTGGGTAGGCAGCCCCTGTCACTGCTTACTTGGTGATTAACTTACCGAGTTCTGCCTGCTTTGCAATTATACTTGCTAAGAGCCCCCTTTAGAAATTTAAACTCCAAAATGTTTATTATTTACTTATGCTATGAATTTGTTAAAAAGAAACTGTCTTAACTCTAATAAGCATAATATATTATATTTTAGCTAGTAAGTTGACTGAAAAAAAAAAACAAAGAAAAGAAATCTGTCTGCAATACATCTTTTTTTTTGTTTGTTTGAAAAATGTTTTTGCCCAGCTATATAATTATTACATGTTCATTACAGAAAATGTAGGAAATACTAAATAAATAAATAAATAAAAAGGAAAAAAAATCACTAATTCTACATTTTGGTTTTCTTCCCTGTATGGTCATACTATGATATTATGTGTCATTAAAATATAGGTGTTGTCCAGTGTTGTTACTAAGTCTTGATAAAAGCCATTTTAAGGGGTATGCAACATTTTATCAAGCAGACGAAGGATCGCTCACTTCACCAATTCCCTACTAAACCTTCAATTTCTTGCTATTGTAAAAAGTGCAGCAATGAACATCTTTGTGCAGCATGATTTTTCTGACTACTAAACAATTTTTAGGATGGATGGATCACCAATTTAATTCCAGAAAACGTATATAAATGTTTTTATGGCAATATTCTCTCCAAAATGATAGCATTAATTTATAGTCCCATGAACCCTATTGAGCATCAGTTTTACTCTTTCCCCTCAATAGTACTTCCATCTCTCTAAAATCTTTTCTAACTGGAGATATATAAAATGAATTTTTGTTTCACTGTTTAATTTTGTTTACTAAGAGTCTGAATTTTTAAAAAAATGATCATTTTATTACTTACAGCTTGTTCTACTAATTTTCCTGAGGCCAATTCTTCTTGGAGTTTCTGGGCTTTCAATGTTCGTTTTGCCTAAGAAAAAAAGAAGAAACATTTGAAATTTACTTACAATATTCAAAGGAACATTTAATTTTTACATACATAAAATGAACGTTTATTGTTTTCAGAAAAGGTCACTGGACAAAGTAATTTCTTATAGCTCTAGAACTCTGGCGCCTATAAAACAGGAGTTACTGACTCTTCCAGGCAGGCCCAGATTACCATAGATGATAAACATAAAATTCAGATTTTTATGTGAAATCCCATGGTCTTAAATATTAACTCTACTTTAAAAAAAGAGGCAGTGTTTTTAAAAACCAGGAGTGAGTAGATGAAATCATAATAGAAAAAACTGAGGTTAAATTAAAATAAAATTCCATCTTCTGAAACAAGTTACCTTATGCTCCCTTCTACCACCCTGAAATGCTATGAGACAGCTATAAACAGACCCACAGGGAAGACACAGTCTAGGGGCCAAGAGTTTATAACCCCAAAAAGCTGAAAGTTTTGGACACTAATCTGTTCTCATGCTTCCAATATTTTCTGCAACCTAAGTCAGGGAGTAAAGGACAATGTAAGAATGAAATAAAAAGAAATGAAATAAAAAAAATAAAAAGAATTGCCAGACAGGGCTAGCACACTATTTATGTGACTATCCAAGCAGGTTTACTACCACGACAATAATAAAAATGCCATCATTTTTATACTGCTTGAAGCGCTGCTGAATTAGAGATCCAACAAAATGTACATTCTTTCAGGGTGGCAGGAAAGCAGCGAATGGTGCTCACCAGATCAACTTTGGCATATTCTTCTACAATTTTCATGTGTTCTTCTGGATTGTAGCCGTTCCACCGATCCCTCTTGCCATCATAGTCAAACATCAGCTGAGGCTGCACATGTTCGTCTGGAGCTATATTAGTACCTGTAAATTTTGCTCCTACTCGCCGAGGCCTCTGGAAAACAAAATAAGATTAAAAATCTTCCTAAGTACCTGTAGCCTAGAGGAGAATTTCATGTCCTCTTTACAGAGCAGGTGTGAACAGACCATGGGTCTGAATGGTTTATTCAATTATCAGTTATTCTTCCAGCAAAAAATGTTCATAATGCTGAACTAATTACACTCCCATTAATTTTTATTTTACTTGTACCTAAATTTAGGTAATTTTATCAAAACAGAATTAAGCTCTCTGACTGGAATAAAGAAAGAGACTCTCTGACAACAGCTTCCAAAATTCTCAACGCTGGACTTACCTCAAAGCATTCTTTCTTCTTGTGTGTCATGGCTCCACAGTTTTCACATGCTCCTTTACGGTACTTAGTAGTTATGGAATTCTATAAACGGATAGAAAGAAAGCAAAGCAAATGTTTTATTTATCTGAATAAATTAGAAATAACTATGGCTCTCATTACTGTATTGTTTAGTGAAGTGATTCATTAAGAGGAAAATCAGTTAGACTCTCTACACTTTTATAAATGAGAAAGTTTAAGGACTTTAGCGATATAAAATGTATAAAAGAAAAGACAGAAGCTAAAGTTGTACATGCTGTGAATTTTAATACCAGATAAAAGGTCATGCAATCTGTCTCTACTTTACATAGCACCACATCAAAGGGGCGCCTATTAAGTTCTTAAAGTAAAATCCCCATCTCCACACGCACAGGCAGGCTGCCCACACACCTCTCTGACACCCCGCTTGTACCACTCCCCCGATGTGCTGTATTGCTTCTGCTTCTCAGGCTGTGGTCTCTGGTGCTTTAAAGTAGGTCTTTTTGATGGATCAATATACCATGGCACTGAAGAAATATACTGAGGAATATGAGGATTGATGTCTCTGTAATAAAATAAATTTTTTTCACAGAATGAGGTTGAAAAACAACTGATACTACAATTATAAAAGTAGTCTATACAGAATCTAAGAACAGAGATACTAAAGTAGGAGGGGGGAGACAGAATATGCTTGCTGTCTCTACAGTGTAATAAAAAAATAAAGTAATTTATATTAGAGTGAAAAAAATTCTGACAAAAGAACTAAGAATAGTGACATAACTGAAGGGGGAGGAGAGATGAAGGAGGGCAGGGGTCTATGTTGGTGAGATTAATGGATGCTCAAGCTGCACAGCTGGGCCTCCGGATCTGTGGTTTGGAATCTGCAGATTCAACCACCAGTGGATTGCGGAGTGTTACATGTACTTTAAAAAAAAAAAATCTGAGTATAAGGGGACCCACACAGTTCAACCTGTGTTGTTCAAGGGTCAACTATAGTCACTGTGTAGAGGAGGACACGAAGTGGGAAGAACTAAAAAGGACTATAGCTATTCCTTACAAGTCCTTCATTATTATTTGATTTCTAAAGCTTATACATGGAGTGGGGAGCATATAGCTCAGTGGCAGAGCACTATGCTTAGCATGCACAAGGTCCTGGGTTCAATCCCCAGTACCTCTGTTAAAATAAACAAACAAACCTAATTACCTCCCCCCTCCAAAAACAGAAAGAAGGAAAGAAAGCTTATAGGTAGGAGTTTGATAAAATACATAAAAACAAAAACGATGTGTGGTAAAGATGGCTTCTTTAAAATCATACCATAAAGCAAAGCATGAGAAATTGGTAAACTCAGTACACATGAATTTGAATTCTGAATGAACAGATCTTGCAAAAAATTAAAGTACTCACTTTCCTTCTTCATCAACTTCTGCAGGGGCATTACCCAGTTTTCGCTGTTCTTCTAGCTCCTTCTTCTTTCTCCAGTCCTCTCTCGTCATCTTCTTTGGTTCCTCCAAACTCATTTCTTTGGACCCCGACAGGGGGGCAGCGTTCACTGTATCCACAGCTGCGGCCGACATGGTTATGTGGCCTCCTCTATGAAAAGGAAGAAATATCTGTTAGTATAAACAAGGCCTTCACAGATTCACGAGGGAAACTATCAAAAATACACCCTAATAACACATTATATAGAATGTTTCATACATTCTTATTCTTTCATAGTATCTGCAAGGGAAAGGTCTCTTACCCCTCCACAAAAGTCTCTGAACTGCTCAAGTTTTTCTCTCAACTCTAATTTACAAATGGAGAGAGACATACACATGTATTTAATTTATTGGAGGTTTTTTTGTTATTGTTGTTGTCATTTGTTTGTTTTTGGGGGCAGGTAAGTTGGTTTGTTTATTTACTTATTTATTTTAATGGAGGTACTGGGGATTGAACCCAGGACCTTGTGCATGCTAAGCACACACTCTACCACTGAGCTATACCCTCCCACTCCATATACATGTATGTAAAATTTCGTAAGACTCCCTCTCATATAGATTTCCCAATTCCTCTCTTTCTATGTGTGTCTAAACCTTTTTTTTTAAACCACACTCACCCTTAATGAATACATAGGGTCTTATCTCTGTTCCTCTTAAAGGCTGAATGTTTTAGGATTATCTATATTCATTATATCTATTTCCTCATCTTTACCTCCTTCCTCAGTCACTCTGATTTAGTTTCCATTCCCCACCAGTCCAAAGATACCACTGAGCTATCAATGTACTAGGTTCTCTGGACATTTTTCTGTTCTGTTCTACTTAAATGTCTCAGAGAAACCTGAACTCAACAGATCTTAATTCAAATTCATGATCTCCTCTATGAAATCTTCCAGTGTTCCCTCTCTTGATGAAAGACACTACTTTCCACCTCTTTATGTAAGTGGTCCAGCTGACTTGCACATCTATTTCATCACTAAGTATTGTTATTTTCACCTTCTGAATATCAAAACTTCTACTCTCAATAACATTAATGCTATTACTTTTTTCCTACTAGTCTCTTCTGATTCCCTCCAATCAGTTAACCACGCTGCAGTGTTAAAACACAAATCTGAAAACATGTTCCACTACCCAAGCTTAAAATCCTCCAATGCAGCAAGCACTGTCCAAGAAAAATATAACGCCAGCCCTATGTCATTTTAAATATTCTGTACTCTTACGAAGAAAATAAAAAGAAACAGGAAAAAATTACTTTTGCAGTATTTAACCCAATACAGCCAACATATTATCATTTCAACACAAGAAAAAAATAAAGTCTTTAAAATCCGATATGGAATTTACACGTATTCAGACTAGCCAACATTTCCAGTGCTTAAGAACCACAAGCAGCTAATAGTTACTATACCGGACAGTCAGCGCCAACGGCATCTTACAATTCTCACTTTAAAAACCACCAAAGACACAGTCCTGGTCTGACTGGACACAAGCACCGTGTCTGAGGCCTAGGACGGCGTCTTCCTTCTCGGTCCCCGGTGCCCGTTCCCCGTTCCCTTCTCAGCCTGGCGTTCATTAACGCCGTGAGGATTATCTGTAATAATTAGAAGCCGCTGGCCCACTTCCTGGGGTTCTCCACTGTCACCGTCCTCCCCTCCCCAAGTTGTCACAATATTTCCTTACCAAGTCCAGCCGCCGCTGACCCCCAGACAGCCAGACACCCAGTGAATCCAATCAGTACTGTTTACTTCCCGACTTTCCTCCTTTTCCCGGCAGCCACTGCGGCACATGCGCACTAAGAACTCTTTGGGTTTCTGGCTAGTTACGACGCTAGTCTCGCGAGATCTCGAGCTGCGCCTATTTCTCTACCGTGGGTCCGCAGAGTGGGTTAGGTTTGAGCATCTTCTTTTCCGGTCTGTAAGTTTCAACTGTTGTTTCTTAAACAAAACAAACAAAAATTTAGTACCGAAAACAGATAACAGTTTAAGCCTAGCTAGAGCGCTACGAAATGAATGGGGAAATGCGTGAAGTTAAAAAAGCAATTAAAATTAATATTAATTAGTAGCCAGGTAGTGTAACACCCTGGGGACGTGGCAAATAGAAAGTGTCTTTCTGTCCTCGAATTTACATCATACAGAGTGAGAGAGACACTAAGTTATTCAAACAGATTATAATTCTTGAAAGTCGCTATGAAGGGAATACCAGGTGCTAGGAGAAAGTAAGGTCCTATTCAGTAATTGTGATACCTCGCCTCAAAGTGGTATTATATTTTACATTAAGAGGAAAAAAATACTATAAAACGATTTCCACTGTGGGAAAACAATAATACTCATGACATCTCAACCTTCCTTTAAAGTATAATATGAAATAAAATCCTGGAAAATAACTAGTAATTTTGGAGCAGAGTTTTCCCTGTTTTGTGTGTGTGTGTGTGTGCGAGCGCTATCTGTTCTGGTCACATTTTCTTTTTACTTTTCAAAACAATATGTATTCCTTTCAAATGTCAAAGTGAAAATAGCTAACATCCTTGCCTCAATAAGAAATCTCAACATAATTAAAATTTTTTTTACTTTGTTTTTTGGGGGAGGCAATTAGGTTTATTTCTATTTATTTATTTTTAATGGAGTACTGGGGATCGAACCCAGGACCTCGTGCATGTTATAAAATGTGCTCTACCACTGAGCTATACCCTCCCTCAATCAATTTTTTTCCTATTAAGAATTTTCAGAGCCTAGAGCACAGGAATGTAAATACTAATTTTGATTTTACAGGGCAATATTTGAAGGAATAAACGTTGTCAGAAAACAGTATGAAAATGAGTAGTCTGTGAACCACTCATACTTTATTTTCATCTCCTTAGAACAATTCCTGAAAGTTGCTTGTAAGTGTTAAGGCCTGTTTGGTTAAAACCACCAGGCAGAAGCCAGGGAGCACATCTCCCAGAGGAATTATAGAATGTGCTGGACAGGAGGAAAGAATCTTTTGTAAAGTTC